ACAATGAAGACTAGATAAAGACACTCCTTTAAACATATCTGGGAACAGATGACTTAAAGCAGAAAAAGACAAATGACCAAACCGAAAATGACATAACAAAATCTTGTTAACAGACTYTGACACAACTGACTCTAAAGCAACTCCATGAGGTGGTCCCAAGGCTTGATTTGGTGTGTCCAACAGGTATATTCCATTCGCCTCTTGGCCACTCTTAATCGTCCTCTGAGACTGCAGGTCCTGAAAAACACAATGAGTGGGAAAGAAGGTTATGCTGCAGTTCATGGACTTTGTTAAGCTACTAGCAGATAAAAGGTTTGTGTTAAGCTTAGGAACATGGAGAACAGAAGATAAGAACAGGGTGTCAGAGGTCTTTATATCTCCTTTGCCAGAGATGGGGGCAAGTGACCCATCGGCAAGGGATATTTTCTCTTTCCCAGAGAGGAGATGATATGAACAAAAAAGGTTAGATAGGCTGGTCATATGGTCTGATGCACCGGAATCTATAATCCAAGGGAGTGTATGATTTTGTTATATTTTCTCATACCAAGGGGGAGTGTATGATTTCCTGAAACTGAAGCATGATTTGCTGAGGCATATGTACCTGAGTGAGCAAAAGCCGATGAAGATGATGTACTGTTAGAAGGGTGGGCTGAAGAAACTGTAGCTTCCAGATGATTTAGGAGCCTCCCATACTTCTTAATGTCTAACTTCATTGCAGCCAACTGCTCAATGGTTGATGTTTTCTCACTCTCCTTACTTCCCCCTTCAGGTATTGTAGCAGCATTAGCAGTCTTGAGTTTTCCCGCTTGACTTCCCTTCTTAGGATTGTTCTTAAACCTCTCAGGGAGTAGTCCAGGGTGAAGTTTCCAGCAGGTGTCCTTGGTTTTCCGTGGTTTCTTGCAATATTCACACACCTGCTTCCCCTTTTCAGTAGGCCCCTTAGATTTCATTCCCGCATCTGCAAAGTGTTCTGTAGGTGGATTCTGCAACTGAACTTGTCGTCTACTTYCCTCACTACTTATCATGGCATATGCTTGTGATAGAGTAACCTCATCTCTGACCAAAATATTCTGTCTGATAATATCAAACTCCGGGTTGAGTCCAGTGAGAAACTCGAATACCCTATTTCTCTCCACCAGCTTTCTGTACATTTCAGCATCCTTTTTACTCTCCCATACCATAGTTTCCATAACATCAATTTCCTGCCATAGGGATTTTGGGATAGAGTAGTAGATTGCTACACTCTTCTCCCCCTGTCTCAGGTTCTTCACATCACTTTTCAATTTGTACGCTCGGGCTACATTCAGTTTCTGTGAATAAGTTTCAGTTACACTGTCCCATATCTCCTTAGCAGAAGACATCCAGAGATAGTGCTAGCTTATATGAGGTTGCATAGAGTTAACTAACCATCCTATAACGGTATAGTTCTCTTGCATCCATCTCTCAAATTTAGGATCTGTCTCTTCGGGTTTCACCTTACTACCTGTGAGATACCCGAGTTTTCCTCTACTACAAACATAAATTTTTATAGACTGTGCCCAGGCAAGATAGTTCGTTCCATCTAGCATAATCATGGTAACACCAGTCAAAATGGAATCTACTGGAGCAGGTTCAGAAACCGGCACCTGCTTGAACTCACTTCCGTATGTCTCCATTAATCAAACGAAATTAAAGAACTGAAATTTTAACTATGCAAACTTACTTGAAGTCAAACCAGAAATAGGGTGCTTGAAGAACTAGGGTTTTGCTCCGTCCAACAGATGGGAGGAAGA